CTTGGCAAACACAGATGGGGGGGCAGCTGGCGCCCAGTACTTGCCGAGGGCCCAACAACAACCCTCGGCCTCCTGCCTCCCCTGTCCAAACCTAGCTGGTGACAATAAATAATAATAATAAAACTAAAACTCCCGTGTGTGCAAGTGTGAGCCCCTCACTACCCTTGACCTCCCAGCCACCCTCCCGCAGTACCGGGAAATCCACCTGGCTCCGTGATGACGGCTTTTGCCCCACTAAGGCTTCGAGAGCCCTTTAGTCATGGTGGCCGCCCATCAAGGACATTAACCTGCTCAGCTTTGGGTTTGTGCCATGGCCTCAGGGCTGGGCAAAGGGCGGGAGGGTCGAGCCTTGGCACTGCCACTGGGGGAGCCGGGCTGCCCTAACACCCATCCAGAGAGTGTCAGGTATGGGGGCTGGAGCTCTTTCGTTTTCCTTTTTCCTTTCACGTTCCCTTTGCCCTGCTAGGAACCCATGCCCTGGGCTCCCTCAGCGTTGCCCTTTCCCTTCCCCACCTCGTGATTCAGCCAGCAGCTTCATCACTCGGGAGCACCACTCTCTTCGCCTTTTCCCCCCCTTATTCTGAGCCCCAAGGACAGCAGGGCTTGTGCCCGGCTGGTCCCCGGCGTGCGTATCCGCTGCACTGAGAGGCTCCAGATCCACAACCCTCTGCATGTGTCACATGTAAGTGCAAGGAACTCACAATAATGATACTAAGAGCAGCTCTGGTCTGGGCTCAGAGCGGCGGCAGGGAGGGAAACGTGTGGGCGGTGGTGGTGGCCGTGCTGGTGCCCATGGCAGGGGTCTCCTGATGGCCACACAATGGAAACGCGTCTCCGTGCCGTGAGACTGTCACCAGCAACTGCCGCACGGAGCAGCCCCCGGCCCCTGCAGACACACCAGGCTCTATCCCAATAGTGTAATTTTCTCCCAGTCAATTTTCTATCATCTTGGCTGCCACGAAGCCGAGGGGCTTACACGGCCAGGTGCATGAGGCGCTGAGTTCCCTTTTTTAATGATGGCTACACATGTAAGAGAAGCACCCAGATAAAAGCTGGGTGGATGCCGAAGCTGATGCTGACCCTGCGCCCACGGGCGCAAGCTGCATGCAGAAGCGAGCATGGCTTTCCTTCCTTTTTCTTTTCTTTTTTATTTCCTTTTTTTTTAACGGTCCTTTTGAAGCAAGGTGTGCGCGAACACGCCAAGGCCCTTCCCTGCCTCCAGATGTTCCTTTTACTGCTCCGGACTTGCTGCCTCTTTCTTTCTTTCGCTTTTTCCCCTCCCCTTTTTAACCAGGTTAATCTCTTTGAAGTGGTGTCCCATTTCCCTTGCAGAAAGAGCCTCAGCCCTGTTGTATTTTGAGCCCTGTTAATGGTGGCGGGGGGAGGGAAAAAAAAAGTGGCTTTTGCTCAGCAAGCCAACCCCACTGCTCCTAGCTCTGTGTCTGGGGCAGGGTGGGTGACCATTCTTTTTGGGCAGCCACGCTGCTGCTTTCCAGAACAGACCAGCATCTGCCCAGAAAATCCGGATGTAAGTTCCTCTTACTAAAGAAAGAAAAAAGAAAAGAAAAAAGAAAAGAAAAGCCCTTCCCAGACCCCACGAAAGCCCCAACCTTTGCTTTCTTTCATTGAGGCTGGGGAGTGAAGGCCGGGCGGTGACGCCGCTGGCGGATGTGGCTTTGCTTTGGCAACCAGAGGCCGGAGCTCCCTGCCCAGCCCTGCCCTGCGCTTGGGCCGTGCCGGGCTGGGACCAGGGCAAATATCCGGCGATAGCACAGGGTGATGAAATGTAGGGTGACAAAACGTGCGGCCCAGGCAGCGGCCCAGCCTGCTCGGGCATCTCCAACAGCAGCACCTCTGCCTGAGCCCGTTTATGGCCCAGCTGGTGCTGGTCCCGAGCAGAGCGTGCCCAGCGCTCGCAGGCCGCGCCGGGGTTGCACAGGGGAGCCGGGGCGCTCCGCGGCAGCGCAGCGGGG